GGGTATAATACCTTTCTATGAAGTTTGGTGAAGACATAATTGGGGAGAATCAAGTTTACAAATCAACAGCAAGGGAACTTGATGATTAATTACTTTGGATTTGATGTTCTACCAACAACAAACATGAGACTGTAGTTAATAATATATTCCTGAAAAATGTTAAGACAGTGGATGTAAAGTGTTCTCACCACAAAAATGATAACTATGTATGGTAATGAACATGTTAATTGGCTAGATTTAGTCATTCCATAATGTATATGTACTTCAAAATATGTTGTATAAAGTAAATACATACAATTTTATGTCAACTTTTTAAAAATTAAAATTAAAACTAACAAAACAAAACAAAACAAAACATGAGACAGCATCAGTTCGGTAAAACTTTCCCAGTAGTAGGTCCCAAAATTCTTTTTGCCATTAAATGACCCTTTACCCATACCAGGATTAAACAGTTAGTGTTTCTCTTTCTGGACTAATGCTTGCATTTAAATTCGCCCACCTGGCAACTATGATGAATTAGGAAGGTCAGAGAGGCATATTTTATATTTAAGGTACATTGTACACATAAAAGGTACACCGCAGGTAGAGAAGTTTCCCCTCTCCCCAAGAAAGGAGACATGCATATGGATGTACTGGTGTTAGAGTGGGCAAAATTATTTACTTTATATGTTTGTCCATGATATTCCCAGCCTCTCTATTCTTTATACTCCCCAGTCCCAAACATCATTAGTCATTGTTCTTATTCTCTTGCCTATCCCCACTGAAACCTGCTGACTCAGGTTCTTTATCTGTGATCTATTGTAAGCAAAATTTTGTGTATTTTCTAGAAAGAGCATTCAAAGTTTTCATCATACTCTCAAAGGGGTCAGAATGGTTCAAGAAATAGTGCTTTAAAGTATTTTCCTTCTTTGGCATGGGCATAAAGCATAGTTGAAACGTTTATGATAAAAGGATTTCAGCTCTACTGCAAGAATTTTAAGAAACGGCCAGTAGGAGGTTACTACAGTATCCACTGAGGGAAGAACATTCTCACTATGGATTGGAGGTCCTGAGCTTAAATGGCACTTTTTTATAAATACAACTTGTATTCAGAAATTATGATTAGATTCAGTAAGCTATAAAACCACATTTAAAATTAAATTGAACCAAAGTAACTAGAGCTCTCAAATCAAGATTTTTTCTCTGTTATTTCTTGGTAACAATAAGCAAATGACAAGAAAATAAGTCAAACTCACATCATAGAGGGATTTTAAAAAGAAATATCCAGGGATGTGTATGGCTGGCTGTATACATGCAGACCAACTGCCAGTCATTTTGTAAATCTGGATACTTTGAATTTCATGTCTTAAAAAAAAAATGATCACCCCATGGCCCTACAGTTTTCTATTAAAGGAAGGTTTAATTATGTTCACTAGATGACACCTAATAAGGCAGGAGTATATTGATACTTTTTTAAAAAAAAGATGTTTAACAAGAAGAGTTGAACTAAAACAGGATTTTATGGTTAAATACAAGTTTAGCAAAAGATTCAAATAACCATAATATCTCATTTATAAAGTATTCTGGTTTAGTAGAGGCTTTATTATAAATAGATTTAAACAGATGTATAGCTCACTTTACACAATAAAAGTATCCAGAATCGTTGCATATAAATTACATTTCCATCCCTTCAGAAATTTTACACTCCTCAAGGATTAGATCCTGACTTTGTGAATAGGCTCTAGCACATAGCTGGCAACCAACTTTGTTTATTAAGTAATTCAATTAAATTATATTTACAATACACTGGGGAATATAATAAATATCAAGAAATATTGTGTATTCTATAATAAACAGCACTTATTTTAAAATTCAGAAACATGTAAATTCAGCTATTAGGGACAAATGCCAGTTACTTATCTTCCAACCCAGATTTTGAGCTATCCAAATATGGGAGTGTCAAGGAAGGCTTAAAAACACCATCTAAGATTAATAAAAAGAAAGAGAATATTGAGAATCAGCAAGTGTGAAGGAAAGCGAATCTTCCCTAGATTGCTAATGAAAATTAATAAAACTTTATCTAGTACCTAGAACAGTGCTTCTCATATATACATGAGGATCTCAAGAAATATTTGTTGTTGAATGTATAAATATTACCTTTCTGCCTGTTAGTTTTACAATGTATCAATTTTTGTGTGCCTTTTGACAATTCTGCTTCTAGAAACTCATCCTAAAGAAATAGTTACAGGTATACATAAAGATTTAGGTACAAAGTGGTTCAAGAAGCATTGGCTACAATAGCAAAATAATTATAAATATTCTAAATTTCCAAAAATTTATGGAAATTTCACATTTGATGGTGGTACATTCTTACAACAGAATACTTATGACACCGTTAAGAATTCTATCCAATGTCATCCAATTAGTCAATGGGTGGAATCAGGATTCATATTCAAGCCTGATGGATTCAAGAACTCATTATTAAGTGTGTAGATATATCTTAGGGGTGACTTGAGGCTGGGAGAGATAAAAAGCACAATGGTGAATAGAAACAGTAACCACAATTACAGCTCAACAGGCTGGCATAATACGATAGATCAACAAAATCAAATTTAAACAGGTATAAATATACCTCCAACAGAGTCCAAAAAGTCCAAATGCCTAAGTACAGACTACAAGAAGATACAGCTTACCAGTAGCCCATGTAAAAAGTCTTAATGAATTTTAGAGAACTGCGAGTTCACTTTGTCATGGTCAAAGTTTGATTATGAGCACACATCTATTGTGAGTACTCAAAACAAAAATAAATATAAAAACTAATGTGATCTCAGGCAACATTAATACAAATATAACATCTGGAACAGGTGAAGTCAGTCTGACTCTAAACTGCAGTAGTCAAAACAATTACACCTGAAGAAAACACTAACCATCCTGAGCATGTTTGGCAAAAATGATTATAATAGTAAGGAACTCAAAGCTATGACATATGAGAAATGGTTAAAGCAACTAATATGCTTATCCAGCAAGCAAAATTACTTAAAGTGTAACTGACATCTGAAGGGTTATTTTTTTCAAAGAGATGAGAATTTTTCCATATGGCACCAATGCAAAAGATACTTCTGCCAATGGGTAGAAGTTACTATGAGACAGGTTTGTGGATGACATAAGGAAGGACCTTAAGTTGAATCAGGGCTTCCAGAAAATGGAATGGGCTCGTTAGGCTCCTTTACACAGAGTTATATGTAGAAGATAAATGGCCACTGAGTATGCCTACTATAGAGGGGATTACAATACCATACAGGAGGCTGATCTAGAAAACACCTAAAGTCACCTCCAAAACTGAGATCTTAATGATTTTCTTAAACTGAGATTTCCTAATACTGGGTGTATGCGTATAAATTTTTCAAGAAAGAAAAATCATACTGCTTAGAACTTTTAAGCCCCTGTGCTACTTATTGATTATTCATTAAGAAAAATCGCCAATTATTTTTCACTGCAATTAGAATTTCAGATGCTCGTGTTAGATACAATATGGTATTTGGTTCGAGATATCTTATAACTATTTCTCTCAACTCATAAAATGTACCTAACAAAGATTTCAAAGGCATTTTTGATCAGTAGCGGTAACAGAAAAAAAAAACATAGTTTTTGTATCATCTTTACATTATACAAAGTTCATAAACTTTTGTAGGCAAATTACCTGCTCTGGTTTCATTAGCTGCTTTTTGTATTCCTCTTCTCTGGCAGCATGTACACTTACAGATGCATTTATCAGACCTGCAGGCATGGTTGTCAGCTTTCCCATCTGAGAAAGATATATCAAAAATACCTTTTAAAATGAAAAGCTTCCCATCTTTCAATTCCTGAAAAATTCTGGAGGCATCTCAGGAACAGTATTGGTTTCACTTAAACATATTAAATACTCAAGCATTCCAAATTATTTCATACATTTTTAAGTTATAGTTCCTAAGATTCTCTTCCCATACTAAGAAGACTAGTACCACCATCTAGTATGGTAGAGTACTATTTTTACCTATTTGTTAACTACCTACTCCACATGGAATATAGCAATAATTATCAGGAATATTATTAATATATTAATATAACATAGCAATGTAATAATTACTAAAATTTCAGGGGTGAAGTAGGATTGATTTTGGTATTCATGCAGTCCACAAACATTAATTGAACACCTACTATGTGCCAAGCCCCAGACTCAGTGCTTAGAATATATCAGTGAACAAAACAAAGATTCCTGCTGTCATGGAACTGACATTCTAGTGGAGACGAGAGACACAGTAAACACAATAAATACAGTATATGGTATATTACAAGTTGATGAATGCTATGGAAAAATTAAAAAATAAAGAGTAGACTGGAGTACTGGGCAATACAGGTTGCATCTTGAAATACAATTTCCATTTACATTATTCATAAAAATAATTTCCTTGCATTACAAATCCTTTGCCCCTGACTTTCTCAATGCCTTCCCTTTTACCTGTCTCACGCTTAATCTAAAGCAAAAAACGATCTTTTTTGGATATAACTGGATTTTAATTAAGAAGGCAGGAAAATTACCAGCTCTAAGAATAAAATGTTCCAGTGTTAATCAGGTATAAAAATAATTCCGAAAGATTATCCATTCAAAGGTCAAATGAGAAGCTTTCCAAGGAATAAATATTTTAAGAGTATGATTCCTTAGCTGGGAAGGAGGCTTGCTGAAATCGACAAAGAACATCGACAAAGAACAGGGAAGAAGTCTTCTTGGTTTATGCACAAATAAAATTGTGCACGACCTGGAAGAAACATTGGCCAAAGGATTCTAAATGCTCTCCAATAACAGTGGTAGTGCCTGTGCTTCATTTCTGACAGTTTTCAATATTTCATGAGCACAGTAAGGGAAGCTATATAAGAACTACTTAAGCAATTTCCTGTTTAAACTAGGCATGACTCTGATTCAGATTGAAGCTCCAGAAATACAGGGTAAAATAAAGACTTAACATTAAAAGAGAAATTTTGTTTACTTCCCATCCAAAGCCTTCTTCTACTACATGAAACAGCATCACAAACTGATATATCTAGGCACGCCTCCTCAAAAGATATCACTTTTGATTTTTCATACCCAGTTGGTATTCACTGTTGAAATAACAAGATTTCCATTCCATACTTACATCACATATCAATACAAAAATGTATTAAAACTGATGCCAGCAAGTATGCTCTACTATAAACCTGATAAATTTTGTTAATAAAAGCTCTGAAGTTATGGATGTCAATTTTTACATTTAAAAGCTATTTTTTAAAAATAATTATTCTCCGGCCGGGCGCAGTGGCTCATGCCTGTAATCCTAGC